AGAATATTCTTATACTGTATATCTATTCATTCCCAAGTAAAATGGAACAGGTAAAGGCTTATTCCATGCTGAAAGGAAAAGGCAAGAAACACATTGTTTTGACTGTGCAGCCTTCTTCAGGTGTGGACAGAATGGAATTAAGCTTTTCCTGTTCCTTTGTAGCCTACGCATGCTGACACAGCTACCTACTTGAACTTCTTTTTCCTGTTAAAATGGCTGGTATGGCCCTTTTCATTATCACAATGGATAGATAAGGGGATTGATCTTTCCATAGATAATTACATTTAGATTTGCAAATATTGCTTAATTAACCTGTTGCTTTATTCTTTTTTGCCTTCTACACATTGCTCATTGTAACACTTGTAACATTGGAACTTCTTCATCAACTTTAGGTCGGCTGAAAAAATTGGTCATGCAATTTATGTTCACCTCCTGAAGGTTTCCCATAAACTCCTAAAAGCTATTACTGTTTGGAAGAAGTCCAGATTTTGCAATCTTGAAATCTTCAGGGATATTAATATAATTTGTGCTTCCAGAAGCCCTAATCATTAATGAATCCAATTTAATATTCTGCAGAGAAAACATATTTAACCCCCATATAGTCCTTTGTGCAAGCTCTATATGCCAGGATGCCGTCTTCTCCTGGGACTGTTAGGACTTGACTAGCATTTTGAGTATTTTGTCAATTCTCCTTATAGCCCCATCACTAGACTATTGAATTAAATTAATCTATCCATCTTCTAACAGCTTTATCCAGTTCAGAGTTGCAGGGGAGCTGGAGTCCATCCTGGCAGGCAGGGAGCACAAGGGAGGTAAACCCTGGATAGGCCACCAGTCCATTGTACAGACACAGACATGCACACATCTATACAAGGGTCAGTTTTCTCAGAAGCCAGTTAACCTACCAGTATGTCTTTGTGGGACAAAACCGGATCCCCCAGACGAAATCCATGCGAACATAGAGAGAATGCACAAACTCCACGCAACTCCACGCAGATAGCACCCCAAATCTGGAATTGAAGGACCCAGAAATGCGACTGTTCCACCGTGTCACCCAACTGAATTCAATTAATTCATGCTTTCATTTTGCATTAGAACTGTATGCATTTGCTTGGCTGCTGTTTCTATACTGTAATTGAAAGATGGTATTAATCTGAATTGGCTATTTAGACACACTTCCTGGTGAAAGTGATTTTGTTTCTTTTCTTCATATCGGTGATACTGAAAACGTGAAGGTTTTTTTTTAGTTAAATTTTAATTTTTACTGTTTTTTTATGTCCTGAATCAAGTTCTCTTTTGCAGTTTTAGGGAGGAGTTTGCAATAGAACTGCTGATTGAAAGAGGAGATGAGGGGATGAGGGAAAAAAATATTTTGAGACCTTTTTAGTTCTGTTTTGGAGTTTAAAGAGAAGTAGAAAAATATTTACAGCTAAAAAAGAGCAGTTTCCTTAATGTCATATCAATGATTAATAATTTGTAGGAGTGATCAAGATATTCAGTGTTAAAATTGCCTTTTCATTTATAAATATCACCATAAAATGAAGTTGAGATGATCACTTCAAGAAATACTCTAAATATTGTTACAAATGGGAATTTACAAAAATGGTGAACAATATGAATTGATAGCACAGCTTTGCCAATGAATAAAATAATCATCAATAATCATCTTGTAAGAATATTACCAAGAATATACCCAAGCTGTTGTTATAGTTAGAGGCATAAGAGTTCTTTGTTCTCTGGCACAGCTTTGGTGAAAAGAGTAATAATTCAGGCACGAATATTTATTAACAATAACAATGGCAATACACGCCTCACTAAACACAACATAGACATACAACACACAGGTTACAAAGGTAAAGCTGCCTTCTAAACTGAATACGATACAGCCTGTGGTTAGAATTCTCTCTCTACAAATCCGGATGCCACAAAATAAATGGGTACCCTACTGTAGCTCCCTTTTCAAAAATGCACCCACAAAGCAGAAGAGGCGGTCTTTAACCAAGGGATTATTCACTCAGGAAATCCAACTTTTTTAAAATCTACAGATCATGTGTCTTACACCCAGTACAACTAAATAAACATCCCTGGTTTGAAGCTCTAGGAAGAGGAAACATTGATACTACTGTAGCTAGATTCCGTTAATTCATTGTAGATTCCATTGTCACCTACCGCAGCCTGTAACAATATGTGAACTATTCTTACAACATTAATAGAAGGCCATTGTGTCGAATGGAATATGGACAAATGCAGTCAAAGGCTCAAGTTCTGTTTCTCTCTGAGTGCAAGACACTTGATGTTTTTAAGACAAGATCATGCTGACTGTTTCCAACAGACTTCCTAGGTACAGATTTTTTGTTAAATAGGGAGAAGCACAGTTAATCAAAATGAATACCTTAATACCACTGTAGTCAAAGCCTCCAAAAATAGCTAGTAATACAACATTGATTTTTAAATTAATTGTACCCCACACATAATGATATTATTTAAAATGTGACAGTAATATTGAGTAATGGGGATGCTGATGTTCTATGCTGTGAGAAAGCACCTTTGTAGGGTTACAGGGATGGTATGTATGGGAGAGCTTCACCTTTTGTATTTGTGACAGCAACGTGTGGGTGTCTGGTAGATTTGAAGAGAATTAAGTGCACTTTGTAATAATGAGGGGCCATTCTGCCACATCAAGAGCAGTGCTGAGCCGTGTGTTTCTCCTCTTCAGGTTTTATTAGTGCATTTGAAGATCTAATATTTCACTGAATGCTTCACACCATCTGTAGTCTTAGGCACCAGCTCTGTGAAAATCTGAGAAATTGTTTTATCACCATATTGATGGTTCAGAATTAAATAACAGAAGCCACATATTTCTGGTCTAAAATGACTGCTACTTTATATAACTTGTGGCTTAAGTTGGGGAAAGCTGAACCAATATTGCTTGAAAAATTCTTGCCATTTTCTAAGCAAGGTTGTTGGACTTAACCAAAGTGTTTGCTTTCATCTTCAGCTGCAATTAATTAATTACCTGAAAACGGGGGAATTTATATGGCGTATAATAGGTGTATTTGTGATGTAAACCTATGCATACTATATGTTAATTATGATTAAATATTTTATATTAAAAACTGAATTTGCACATTTCTAGTCTGATGGAAACCATTTGTTTACCACCTCAAAAATGTACTCTGTAATACTGTTCCCTGTTAATAACCAATAACGCGAACCACCTTGTCAGTGTTTCAGCAAACATTGTTTTAATTTAATAACCGGAGAACACTGTAATTAGAGCTAACCTGCTGCATATTTTGTCAGTCCTTTCAAGCTTGTAACCAGGGAACATCACATCAAAGAATAGCAAAAAAAAAACAATAATTGTCACATTTTTATAGAGAAAACAAGCCTCTCAAAGATGGTCTGTTATCTTACTCTTTATTTTTAGAGGTTAATGATAACCACAGGAAGGTATTTCTTGATGAATATTGATTGGAGTCTTGCTTTAATCTTGACTTTTTTTCTGTTCTCACAGTTTTAACTTGATATATTAAAGACGTTTATGTCTTACTGTGTCATTGATGCTACAGTATCTCATGTATATATTTATCAGTGATTAACTGAATTTGCTTATCAAAACACTCCAAATTAGTTACATAAGATTAGTAACTATTTTTTAAAGAAGAAAATAAATATTCATTCAGTCTCTTGGAATAATGTTTCTATAATGTGCAAGTTAAAGATGGTAAAACTATATTTTTAAACTACCTTGTTTTAATGGGAAAAATATTAGCAAATTGGCAGGAATATAAAAAATCACCTTCATCTACTTACCGGAGGTGACAAAATTTGTAGCTGGAAATTTTACACTTACATAAATGGAATGCATTTCGGTTCTGAAATTCAAAGGAATAACAGCAAAAATTAAAAATTACACAACACATACTGTCCATTACATCAAATCATCTCTAATGGTAAAGGTATAAGTAAACATCTAAATCTAAATCTCTACATATATGTGAATGTACCAAAGATAAAAAATCTAGTTTTCATGAAACCTTATACATCTGTTTAGCCAGGGGGACTTTTTATTAATCCTGTCCTAATCCTATTTCAAACTGAATGGCACTGAAGTGTATGACATGAAGGACCCTTTTGAAATAAACCAGGGTACTATTTTATTGTTGTTCAGGGTATTGTAAAAAAGAAGCATCATGGAATAGAGTGATAATCTAGGAGATTAGATGAGTAACAGTCTTTTAATACAGAATTCTAGCAAGTCTAACCCACTGTTCCTACTGTACTTATGTTCAACATCAGTTAGAAATAGAAGTAACTGTATAAAAAATCATAAATAAGATTGTTAATTGCATATATACTGTACAGTACTAGGGCATTAAGACACAATACATGCTGTTGGCTCCAACACTCTTGTTACTGTATTTTTTCAGTAAGAATATAAATTAAAACCAAAGTCTATTCAAGTAAATATGTTAGTAAGTCATAGCTGATAGTTGATTTAGTTTTACAAGTTTATCTGGAAGGTTCCAATAAATATTGTGAGGAGTGCAGAAATTACAGTGCATAGTCTAAAAGAACTACAGAGTGATGTAGTCTTTTTTCGTGAAATATTACTTTTCTAAAGAAATTACATTTTGCAATCTATGAAAACTAATTTGAATGAGGATTGATCACCTGCTGTGGTTACCAATTGCTTTTCTTTTCTGATACAATTCCTCATTCAGTCTCCGACGATCAGAAATGTTTCTTGTTCCATCAAGAACTTCAGGTGTATCACATTTGCAGTGTCTCAAATCAAGTGTACATAAAATGCATTCTGTTTTTCTTTTGCAAGCATTCTCATTCACATCTTGTCTGTTAGAGTCTACTTTTAAAGTTCAAATTAGTTAATGATGTTTTAAGAAAATATCACAATAAAAGCTCTTATTATAAAATTTTCTTACTAGACAGGATAAAAACAGTGCAGTATTTCTAATTCACTGTATGTGCCTTTGCAGGCAACTATGGGGAGAGTGGAATGGGGGCTTTTAAGGACATGGCTGCCAAAGAAGGGATCTGCATTGCTCACTCCTACAAAATCTATAGCAATGCTGGGGAGCACAACTTTGACAAGCTGCTGCTGAAGCTGAGAAGCCACCTGCCCAAGGCCCGAGTCGTGGCCTGTTTCTGTGAGGGGATGACAGTCAGGGGAATTCTCATGGCCATGAGGAGACAGAACCTAGTGGGGGAGTTCCTGCTTGTTGGAAGGTCAGTACACAAACTGCTTATTTTTACATTGCTTTTCAGTTCTTGAAGCAAATGCTTTGCATTTTTTTTTATCACAAAGGTAATGTTAATGTGTTTCACACACCCAGACAATACAGTATGTGATTTCAGTATAGAATGCAGTCCACTCCTTGTTTTTGTGGGAGGGATACAGAACTCCAGCTGCAAAAAATACAATTTCTTGCTTCTTGCTTAGGGCCTTTTCTTCTGAGCTGCAGTTCGAAAGCCACCTTGTCCAACAATTATGTAATTCTCGATAAAAACAAATCTATCATTAAAGCAAAGAATGTGGAATTGAAATGAAAATCCTAGGTGGTTTTTAGACTTGATGTGTGACCTTCTATTTCAGAAAGAACAGTGTAAACATTAAAAAGTTTCTTAGAATAAGTGTTAATGAGCCAGTCATAGCACTAATGTATAAAAAACACAAAATCCTGGTCACACAATTATAGCAGGAAACAACAGCTTTTCTGACTCCTGTGGGCTCTGAAAGAAACACTATGGTTCCCATCTCCTTCTGTCAACATACTACTTATATTTGCTCATACTTAGTATTCAGGCTACATTTCAGGCTTAGGTTGCCTCAAAGTGGGCTCCCTCTAGAAAGCTAAGAGTAAATTAAATGCATGCATCCTGATATCAGAATAATGTTAGTTTTTTTTTTTTCCATTTTTCCCTCTTTGTGTTTACTTACAAGATAAGGCGGCCTCGTGAGACTTGTGTCGAAGTTTCTCTTCGTACAGGGACATAGAAATGAAAAGAAACCAATAAGCTACAACTACAAGCTACTTTTTTACACAAGTTTTTTTCATAATTGCAGTTATGTTAGTAGCAAAAAGGAGATACCAATGTTTTTATTTAAAACAGTTGTCCAAGAACCATACACAACATTGACAGTATATTACATGGTTAACACCTTGCTTCATACAATGCATAATGTAGGAATCCTGTGGCTCCAGGACAGATTAAATTGCATCTCTTGCAACAGCATTTCTATGAGGAGTTGAAGTAACAGGTTTACTGAGATGCTTTGACAAAGATTGATCTAGGACTTGATTTGTTACAGAGTGTGGTTTTGACACCAGAACAGTGACAGATGATGGTACAATACAGTATGTGAAGAAGCTTTAAATTCAAGATTCTGTAAGACTTTCTCCAGGGTAATACCAGTGGCCACAGTGCCCACAGAGGGCAACTACAGTAGTGCAGTGGAAGAATGGAATTAATCAGACATTTGCCATTTGTTAGTTATATTGAGCAGATAACATATCTTGATCTTAAAAAATACTCTTATTCCACTTTAGTGTCTTCACCCATGAAATTCTGCAAGGAGGTAGCTCATCCATGTCCTCTCTCTTCTGTCATCACCATCATCATCATCATTGTCCATCGTCCCAAGCGAGAGAAGACATACATTTTTTCATCATAATGACTGAATGGTTGACCAGCCACTTCAGTACATTAAGCCTCTGCAGATCCCAGGGGTACAACACAGGTACCTTTTTTGTAGATTTTCTTCAACCTATACTGTACATACTACACAATGCAAGGATGATAACAATATACAGTATAAAAATAATGGTAATACCACCAAATGTAATATTAAGATGTTTATTTATGTACTTTATTATTTAGATGTAATAATAGCAATAGCTGTCATTCATCATCATCATGGTTGTCATTATCATCATCTTTATGATTAATATTAGTATTAGTAAATTCCCAGATTAGATCATTTTATTAAATCATTTTTTTTTAAAATGCAGGCTGTTACTCATTTTATAGGTTTCCTGGTTATGTTGCTCATCTTTTAAATTAGTAGCATTTTTCTTACAGAACATGACCATACATAAGATGGAAAAGAGCCCGCAGATAATGTCCAATTTGTGTTTCTAATGTCCAAAAATCAGCTAGGGTGAAGTAAAGTTTTGTTTCCTGTTTAAGAATGCATTTTAGGGAATAGTACTATATATAAAGCACACCCATCTGATGTTGTCCTGTTTCTGTTATTTTCTTTACTTCTTGTTTAGCCAACAATGGGTTGTACGGGCGGCATAGTGGCACAGTGGTGTCAGGAACAGTTCTTTCCGGGCCCTATGTGGGCGACACGATCCAAAAGGTGAAGAAACAATAGGGAAAAATATCATGCAGGAGTCGGTCAGGAGACAGGGGGGCGTGTCCATGCAGTGCTAGTGTCCGGGGGGAGTGAATCCAGGGCGAACAATCCAAGGGTAAATCCAGAGGGGGAATCCAAGACGGGAG